GGTGGACGGACACACCAGTAGTCACTCATGTCCCTCTGTTTAACTCTAAGGAGAGACTAAATTTCGTGCCTCTGCCGAGATGTGCCCATTCCCTCAAACCTAAGCCCTCACTTCTCTGTGATTCCCAAGGAGGAGCTACATTTGCCTGTGTGTGGCTGGCATCTATCCCTACGCCCCTGATGGCTGAGGGATTCAGCGGGACCCCATTTTACAGGGTGGGAGAGTCTTGCAACACTCAGATCCTCACCGTGACTCCTGAAAGTCCCTACTGCAGACCAAAGACTGACCCCTTAAATCAATACCCAGAAGTCTGGGAGATTCCTGAGGACAAAGTGAGGGGCACCTCAGACTTGAGCCCTGACCAGAGGCATCAGGGCCGATCGCAGAGCAGGGACCCTGAGTTCCCCCTCTGTATTAGGGTCATTCCCTTGACTCTACACTGTTGTTGTTGAGTATCTTCGGTTCCGACTCACTGCAACCCTGTATACGGTTCCCAAGGCTGTAAATCTTTACCCGAGCAGAAAGCCTCATCTTTTTTCCACAAAGCAGCTGATGGATTCGAACTGCAGACCTTACGGTTCACAGACGAATGTGAAACCCACTAAGCCACCAGCGCTTCATCGCCTGGGACTCCGAGGACAAAAGGAAGGAGATTTGAGTTTAACCGCCATGCTTGCCCACCCCCCCCCCTCATGTCTGACTGCAGGGATGGGGTGGGGTGCGGCTAGGTGGGGGTCTCTTCTGTTCCCGGGGCGGGGGGCGGGGAGTGTAGCTCAGCAACTGTAACTCAGGACACTGACCTGCACACCTGATGGCTCCTGAAACTTTTCCCTCTGCAGGACAATGGCTGCTCCTCTCAGACAAGGGCTGCCCTCTCAGAAAATGGGGCCTGCCTCCCCATCCCCTCCCTACTGAGGAGTCACATGTCACTTCCGGACACGCCCACCGGGCCCTAAAATGACTGACAGCTGGGGCGGGGACTTATGGGCTACCTCTTTTCCGGAGCTGCTCTTTGGACACCCTATACTGTCTAAATTTGAGTCTAAACTGACTCAATGACACTTAGCAACAACAACAACTCTTTTCCTTGGTGGCAGTATTATGGGGTCCTACAGAAGTTACACGGGGGCTTTTTGGTGACTCTTGGTACGGTCTGGGACTTCTCTTATTCTTAGTTGACTCAGCCACATTCAGATCTAGACCCTCATTTACTATGAATCCCTAGTCAGGATTAATAGGGAACCAGAGCATGGCACCAAACCAGGGGTCTCCCAAGGTGACACTAGCGGCTGAACACTGAGGGGCTTTAGCTCTAAGGAGGCAAAGCTCTGAGAAGTGGGGTATTGTGGGCTGGACTCTGTGAGTTCTTCTCTTATGGGTGGATGGAACCTCATTTTTCCCCCAGAATCTTACCTGGACTCCTGGTAGGTGCAAACCCACCTGTCTGTTGCCCTCAGACTAGAGATCTTCACACCCTGAGACTGCTGATGTAAGACTGTGGGTATATCTCTTCTAGACAATCCAGCCTGGGGGTCTAGGACTGGCTGCCACACTTGGCGAAGCTGGTGGAGTTAGGCCCCAAAGTCCTCGTTCAGTGACCTCACACTGATTTCTGGCAGGGCCTGAAATATAATCTAATGTGCAAAGACCTGGAGCTAGAAAACCAAAAGTAAGATCATGCTCAGCAATTCTCAAGCTGAGAGAACTGAAAAAAAAAAAAAAATCAAATCATGACTTGAGGTATTGAAGGATTCTATGAGCAAATTGGCAGCATTGATGGACTCAAGCGTGGCAACAGTAGTTAGGTTGGCCCAGGATGGGGCAGTGTTTCGTTCTTCTGTGCATAAGGTCGCTATGAGTCGGTACCAACTTGATGGCACCTAACAACAGCAACAACAATGAGCAAATCATTGAATGATGCAGAAACCATCAAAAGAAGATGGAAGGAATACACAGTCACTGTACCAACAAGAAATGATCTATGTTCAATCATTTCAAGAGGCAGCATATGATCAAGAGCCAGTGATACTGAAGGAGGAAGTCCAAGGTTCATTGAAGGAATTGGCAATGAACAAGGCGCCGGGAATCAATAGAATACAAATTTAAATCTTTCAAGAAAGTTAGTCAGCATTGGATGCAGTCACTCATTCATGCCAAGAAATTTGGCCGACTGACTGGAATAGATGTGTCCATTCCAAAGAGCGGTGACCCAGTGGAATGAAGAAATCATCTGACAATATAACTGATATCCTATGCAAGTAAAGTTTTACTACAGGTAATTTTTAAAAGGCTGCAACCATACAGTGACAGAAAACTTCCAGAGGTTCAGGATTCAGAAGCGGACATGGAATGAGGGATATCATTGCTGATGTCAGATGGATCTTGGCTGAAAGCAGAGAATACCAGAAAGATGTTTACCTGCATTTATTGACTACTCAGAGGCTTTCAATTGTGTGCATAATGACAAGCTATGATCAACATTGCTAAGTATGAATATTTCTGAACACTTAATTGTGCTCATGAGAAACCTGTGCATAGACAAAGAGGCAGGTTTTCCAACAGAGCAATGAAACACTGAGTAATTTAAATCTAGGAAAGGTGTTCTCCAAGGTTGTATTCTTTCACCATACTTATTCAATGTATATGCTGAACAAAGAATCCGATAAGCTGGATTATATGAAGAAAAGAGTGGCATCAGGATTGGAGGAAGACTCATTAAGAACCTGCGATGTGCAGATGATACAACCTTGCTTGCTGAAAGTGAAGAGGACTTAAAATACTTACTGATGAAGACCAGTGAATACAGTCTTAGGTATGGGTTAATATCAATGTAAAGAAAACAAAAAATTCTCACCACTGGACCAATAAATAACATCCATATAAATAGAGAAAAGTTTAAGTTGTCAAAAATTCCATTTTGCTAGGATCAACCACTAACACTCATGGAAGTAGCAGTCAAGAAATCAAGCAACATATTGCATTGAGCAAATCTGCTGCATAAGAGCTCTTTAAAGTGTTGAAGAACAAAGATGTCAATTTGAAGATTAAGGTGTGCCTGACCCAAGCCATGGTATTTTCAATAGCCTCATATGCATGCAAAAGTTGGACAGTGAACAAGGAAGACAGTAGAAGAATTGATGCATCTGAGTTATGGTGTTGGAGCAGAATATTAAAGTACCATGGGCTGCCAAAAGAACAAAGAGATCTGTGTTGGAAGAAGTACAGCCAGAGTGTTCCTTGGAAGCCAGAATGGCCATGTTTGGGAAAGTGGAGGGTCCTGAGTAAAAGAAGAAGACTGCTGATGAAATGGATTGACACAGTGGTGGCAGGCCTAGCAATGATTGTGAGGATGGCCCAGGATTGAGCAGTGTTTCATTCTGTTGTGCATAGGGTCGCTCTGAGTCTGTACTGACTCGATGTCACCTAACAACAATAACAAATTGACTGAACATGTACTTCAGGAGCTTCTCCCTCCTGATAACATATCCAAAGTAACTGAGACGGTTTCCCCATTCTAGCTTCTATGGTGTATTCAGACTGTACTTCTTCCAAGACAATTTTGTTCATTCTTCTGGCAGTCCACAGCATATCTATAGCAATTTGAAACAGATGGTATTTTCTAATGAATTTTCATTTTTGTATTCCTTGGATACAGCCTATTTCTTCATTTAATTCCATGCAATAATGGATCAGCATGAATGCATTTAAGATGTATGTCTCTGTGTGAGTAAGCCTGATCTTGGTGTTCTTCTTTTTTATGTATCCTCATACATTTTTTGTATCAAACAGAGCTAGCCTTTAAGGGTGATTGAACAATTTCTCATTCTTCTGTATGGTTTGTATGAGTTGTCGTTACTACTGACTTTGCAGTTCAATCCAAAGTTTCAGTCCAGCACATCATCTTGAAGGCCACACCAGGACTCTTTACATATGATTGCTGGTGGCTTATGAGCTGTGGAGTCGGTTCCGACTCGTAGTGACCCTGCATAGGGTTTTTAAGGCTGTAAATCTTTATGTAAAGCAGAAAGCTTCATCTTTCTCCCACGGAATGGCTGGTAGTTTCGAACTGCAGACCTTGAGGTTAGCAGCCTGCTTCACAAACACTACATTGTGATGGTGACTAGTTTTTCGCCGACCATTTGTGGTAAGAGGCCTAAAAACATGGTTGGTCTTGGAATATTTTGAGGGTGACTTGGGTTAGAGCTACAGTTTCAGTTTGTATAGTTCAATTAAACTTTTTCCCCATGTTATTGATCTATGCAACACATTGTATTGTATTTAAAATGGTTGCATTGCAATTGGGTTTTCAGATTGAAAAGCATGATATTTATAATAGTGCATATCACAGACATTTGCAAGCATATAAAATAATACAGAGAATGGGAAAATAAACCTTAAATCTTGACACTCAGCATCAACAACCCTCCATAACTATGTTGTTGTTGCTAAGTGCCATCAAGTTGGTTCCGACCCATAGTGACCCTATATAGGGTTCTGAGGAGCAGCTGGTGAGTTTGAACCACCAACTTTGCAGTTCAAACGGCTTTACAGTCTGGCGCATTAACCCACAGCGCCACACCAGGATTCCATAACTATAGGTACAAGCTTGTTCTCACTGTTGTTGTTGTTGTTGTTGTTAGGTGTCATTGAGTCAGTTCTGTTTCATAGGGACTCAATGCACAGCAGAAGGAAACACTGCCGGTCCTGTGCCAGCCTCACAACTGTTGTCATGTTTGAGTCTTCTGTTGCAGCCACTGTGTCTGTTTATCTCATTGGGGTCTTCCTCTATTTTGCTGACTCTCTGCTTTGCCAAGTCTTGTCATCTTCCCTTAGAAGGAGCATTCTGGTTGCATTTCTTACAAGACCATTTGTTCTTTTCTCACTGCCTGGTACTTTCAGTTTCGATGTTTAAACTAAGGTTTACTTAGTTGTTTGTTGGTTGGTAAAATACTTCAAAGGAACCCTGGTAGTAGTACTAGGTTACACATTGGGCTGCTAGTTGCAAGGTCAGAAGTTCAAACCCATGAGCCACACTGTGAAAGTAAGAGGGTTTCTACTCCCATAAAGATTTACAATGTCAGAAGCACTATTACTGGGAACTGACTCCACAGCACATAGCAACATATACAGTGGAAAGCTGCCCGGTCTGGGCCATGCTGATGATTGTCTGTAATTTGGACCTTTGTGATTCATCAGCTGATTTTCAGAAATAGATCACCAGGCATTTCCTCCCAGTCTGCCTTGCTCAGAAGTAATGACAAAAAACAGTTCAACATCATAGTAGCATGCAAACCACGAATGACAGATGGGTATTAGCTGTATGTGAGGTGCATTTGCCAGTAACGGAACCAAGGTCTTTCACATTGAAACAAAATTCAACCATGGAATGACCACAGACATTGTGGACCTCCATTGTTGTTGTTCACTCCATTGATGTGGGTTCCAACATATAGTGACCCTGTATGGGGTTTCTGAGGAGTGTCTGGTGGGTTTGAACCACTGATCTTGCAGTGAGCAGTCCAGAGATTCCTCCTTGGCTTTAATAGTCAATTGGACATCTCTGCAGAATTCTTTCAGGTCACTGCTCTAGGAAACCGCAAGGCTTCTGTTCTCTTGGTCAAGACCCTGAGAGAAAACTCAAGTAAAGCTTAGTTGCAGTGTGCTAGCTCTATGTCGGGCTTACTGCATGGACAGCAGGATTGCTAGTAGTGACACTCTGTACTTGAAGAGGGCGAGATCTTCACAGTTTACTTTCAGGACCATTATATCTACTCCTGACAGAGCCAATACTCCCTCCACTTTGTTCCTCAAAATTAGACACCTCAAAGCATTTAGAGACCCACAAGAAGGAAGTGTAGGGGCAGTTCAGGTCTCACTCATGGCCAGTTGTCCCTGTGATGTTAGTGCAGTAAGGACCATTCTGTCCTGGGTTCCCTGGAGGTCTGAGTCCTCCCTCAGGAGCCTCACCTTGGCTGACTCCTTTGAACAGGCCCCTCACCTTCCTGAGATGCCCTGGGAGGAATTGTCTTCAACTTACTGCATCAGCATGTCATGTCCTCCAGGTCTATAAACAGAGGTGGGGATGATTACTTAGGGAACTCAGCGCATCATAACTGTCTATATTACATCTGCTGTGTAAGCCTCCCAGTTAGTCCAAGGACCTCACGTCCAGGAGAGGAACACACAGAGAAATACCTCAGTCTGTTATCTCTGATCTGAGCTTCCCAAGATCACACAAGGGGAACTTTGGTCCCTCTTCTTCCAGGGAGTGGTGGAGTTGAGAAAGTGGCTTAGTTCTATCTTTCCGCTTATAGATTTTTCCTTAACTCTCACCTGCTCTTTGGATTCCTCTCTCTATTGAATTGGGTCTGAAACAAAGGTGCTCATTTCCCTGAGCTCATATAGGCAGAAGTCAAGGAGCACTTGAACTTGCCAGTTTTGTCCTGGACTCCCAAGTTCAATGGAATTCGCAGAGCTCAATGAAGCCCTTCCCATGTTGGGTTGAGTGGTTCCCAGTACCTCAATCATGTGTTCACCTTAACTCCACTGGGATCCTGAGACCCTGACCGATAGCTGAGAATCAGAGATCAGAGTTAGCTCCACCTGCAGTGGCTCTGTAGGATAAACACTAGATTAGGAACCATAGGGTTCACCAGATGCTTCACAGGAGAAAGAGGCGGTTTGGTGTTCCCAGATTTACAGTCTAGGAAGGTCTATGAGTTGTAACTAACTGGACAGCATTTAACAAAATAGCAAGGACTAGTATGGTGAGGGGATGTGAGTGGTGTTGGAGAGGGGTATTTGTGGAAGGTGTTGTTTTTGCTATGTGCCATCAGTCAGGTCTGTCACTTGTATATTATTTCCCAGTAGCATCTGATGGAATTGAACTGCTAACTTTGCCTATCCAGGACTTACCTCACAGTTGTAATTTGAAGGCCCCAGCATTCCTCACTCACGCTTCTGACCTTGACTCTACTCCCTTGATTTGGCCTGGAAGCAGGCGTGTATCTTTATGGTTCAGACTCCAGCCCTCCCTACCTCACTTGAGGGGATTCAGGACACTGTACTTTTGCCTAATCCTCTTGGGGGCTCCAAGAGCAGAGTGCAGGGGCAGGGCTCTTGGTAGGCCCTCAAAGGCGGGAGGCTTCCTCACAAGCACTAAGGGTCCTTGCCTAGACTCCTGGTAGTTCTCGTCCCTCTTAGAAGGTGGGGCTCCTGCTTTAGACCAAGTCCATTCACATTCTGAGACTGTTCAGACTGAAGTTAGCAGTAGGGACTGAACCTTGTAGGGCCTCCCCCGTTTTAGGTTAAGTGAACCCCTCTGTCCACATTCAGGGTCTTCACCTTGACTTCCATCCAGTCTTGGGAACCCAAGTCTCCTTCTAGAAGGAAAGAACGCAGCCCTTCACACCAGAGCTGTACCTTCCCCGGCCACTTCCTAGATGGAAGTCAGGGAACATCATAACAGGCTAAGACCACTGGAGTGCCCCCTACAAGCCAAGTCTGATGTGTAGGGGGCCTCCGAGGCTGACACTAGGAGCGGGGCTCTCAAGACCATATTGCATTGTGGTTATTGGTTTATCAGAGCTCTCTATAGATCTTTACCTTGTTGTTGTTGCTAAGTGCCATCGAGTCGGTTCCGACTCACAGCTACCCTGTAAAGGGTTTCTGTGGAACCTCTGGTGAGTTTGAACGGCCATCCTTTCAGTTCAAACCGACATTTGGTCAATTGATTTTCCTACAACCTTATACCAGTATCTAAAAACTGAATCTCGTATCTATATGGACCTGAGTCCCAGGCACAGATCAAGACACTCTCATTGCAGACAACCTACATGAGGTGGTTAGGGTTGGTCTCATGGTGCATGGTGGCGAAGGTGGGGGGGGGGATATTGCAAAGCTTAATTCAGTTCAAAGATACCCAAATTAGACAAAATTCTACTTAGCAAGAAAACTTAAGTACCATTTTATATTAACCTGATGCCCTCCAGTTGATTGCAAGAGAACATGTTACGACCTGGAACTGCCACAGAATGGAGTTTCCTTGGGTATAATCACTGCAGAAACAGATTGCCAGGCCTTTACTCTGCAGTGCAGTTGGGTGGGTTGCACTGACAACCTGTAGCTTAACATTGCATATCTAGATGGTCATATTTTCATGAAAATGATTTGATTCTTATGCATACTATTAAGGCATTTATTGTGTTCTTATTTCTCTGGTGATTTATGTCCATTCCAGTAATTGGGCAGAGAACCGTTCTAAAACCACTGAAAACCATTTTATAGTTGTTGTTGTTGTTATGTGCTGACCCTGTATAGAGTTTCCTAGGAGCGACTGGTGAGCTTGAACCGCCAAACTTGCAGGTCAAACCGACTTTGCAACCCACAACTCCACACCTGGTCTCCTACTTTTTGTAGGTGTTGTTTTTGTTAAATGCCATTGAGTCGATTCTGACTCACAGTAACCCTGTATAAGGTTTCCAAGGAGAAGCTGGTGAGTTTGAACCACTGACCTTGCAATTCAAACGACTTTGCAGTCTGACACATTAGCCCACAGCGCCACACCAGGACTCCACTTTTTGTAGTAGTGAGAGGAAAATAGAGACACAAGGTCAGCTTGGAGGAGGACAGGATCTAGACAGATTCAGTCCAGGACTCTGGTCCAATTCTGTCACTTACCAGTCTGGTGAACTTAAGAAATAGGAAAATTCCTCATCTATAAAGGTAGACCGATGGGTCCCACCTTGTTGGACTGTGGGAATGAATGGACTGTAACAGAAAGCACTTTTAAAACTTATTGGAAAACACTCTGTTTAATTAATTAATGACAGCAATCATATGATTATTGTGAACTAAAAAAATACAAGGTTCATGAAAATTAAAAAAACAAAACATCCAGCAGATATTAGAGAATATGCAATGTTCTAGGACAAAACCAAAAGAAAACAAAAACCATTCTATTTCATGTAATTGATTCCAGGTGGGTGCATATCTTTTAAATAAATAAAAAGTAAGATTAAAATACATAAGGCAAACTAAAAACTGCCAACTTAATGGCACCTTCAGTTTTTTTTTATCCTGTTTTAATGTAGGGTTCTTTCACATCTCCATGAAAACCTCTGTCCAATAACATGTTATCTAATTCTAGAACATAAAGAAAATGTTGAAGATTTCTCAAGTTCTTTTATAAACACCAAAAATTGAACTCTTACTCCTGACAAACAACAAAACAGTGATGATCATGTCATTCATAAACACATATTCAAAATAAATCTTACATTAAAAATCTCAACATTTCAAAGGCCTTAATATATACTGATATCTATGTAGACAGAGAGAAATATATGTGAATCGTGTACAACAAGAATACAAAGAAGATAAACATTTTGCTTCCTTCAGCCCCACTATTTAGAAACATGACAGCTATTTCAGCCACCAAGTGAAGAATCAGCTCAAACTTCATTTCATGTGACAGAGGCTACTTGCCCCTGGAACGTGCACCGGCTCTCGCATTAACAGCTCTGGCTTGGGCTCTCTCTTCCTCATCTCTCAAAGCTTCTTCATACAGAGCAGGGAAGGAGCTGGGAACTGTATTGTTGATCTTGGCCAAAACTTGAAGGGCTTTCATCTTGGTGGTTTCAGCATAAGCTCGTGGACCCCAAAGGAATTCATTGCATGGAGGATCACTCTTGGGCACTTTCCGGAACACCAGGTATCCTTCCATCACCAAATCTTTGGTTATAAACTTCCTGGGATCCCCAAAAATTGAGTGCACCTTTCCAGCATAGATGCCCAACAAACCCAGGAATTCCCAGAGTTCATCTTCAGTAGCTCGGTTACCATTCATGAAGATTATGCACAAGAGTGTCATCGCCAGACCTGTCTTGGGCAAGCCGCTGCCTCCAGTTAGACTTCTTCCTTTGGCAATATTCAACATGCTGACGAAGTGACAGGAGTTACTGTTGGGGCTATCTTCCTTCAATTCAAGGCCAAAGATCAGCTCCATGCGATCCTTGGCTCTCCTCAGGATCTCAGGGAATTGCTCCTCATGATTTTCGTTGAGAAGCTGCAGCATCTCTGTCTTCATAATGGGCTCTTTATTTTTATACTTATCGATCATGAACTCCACCAAAGGGCTCACCTTCAAGGAGAGAGGATCTTTCTTTGAATTCATATAGAAAGATTCTTCGTTGTCAGTGCTTGGATTTTTCTCCTGTTGGGATTTGGCATCTCCATTAGATTTTCTGGCTAAAATAGCTGCAATAGTAGTGGCAGTGACTGGGCCTTTCTTACACTCTTGCAAAATGTGAGCCACAGGGGAGCTCTGGGGGGTATTCCCCAAAACCGAAGAGGGAGAGGGAGACCCTTCTACCTTGGTAGCAGAGGCCTCAGCACCCTGGAGGTCCTGGGTTTCAATACGGGCACGTTGGCGCTTCTCACGGGCACGGAGCTTACTCTTCTGACCACGAGGCATGATGTCTCTCTTGAGAAACCTGTCGAGGAAGTTAGAGTGAGCCTTAGCTCAGAGCCTAATACATCTACCTGTGGCTTACTGCGTCTCACCTCAGGTGTCCTAAGTGGGGCTTTTTCTCTTCCTCAGTAGGGGGATTTCTCAGTTCACATTCAGGACTACCACCATGTAGAATGCTGGCAGGGTCTAGGTTCATTTCCCTTTGCTACTCAGATGGTAATCTGTTAAACCTCTCTGGACCCCAGGGGAGAAAGTGAATGTTAACATCAGCCCACCACTGCAGGGAGGAGGAACCCAGTGCTGACAGGACCCACAGAGGGCCCACGGTGGACGGACACACCAGTCCTCACTCATGTCCCTCTATTTAACTCCAAGGAGAGACTAAATTTCCTGCCTCTGCTAAGATGGGATGTGCCCACTCCCGCAAACCTAAGCCCTCACTTCTCTGTGATTCCCAAGGAGGAGCTAGATGCCTGTGTGTGGTTGGCATCTATCCCTGTGCCCCTGATAGCTGAGGGATTCAGAGGCGCCCCATTTTACAGGCTGGGAGAGTCTTGCAACCTCATCGTGCTCACCCTGACTCCTGATAGTCCCTACTGCAGACCAAAGGACAACCCCTTAAACCAAGACCCAGAAGTCTGTGAGACCCCCGAGGACAAAGTGTGGGGCACCTTAGACTTGACCATTGACCAGATACATCAAGAACGTCCGCAGTGGAGGGACCCTGGGTTCCCCCTCTGTACTAGGTCATCCCCTTGACTCCACACTGTCTTTGTTCTTCTGTGTTCGTGGTCCCGACTTACTGCAACCCTGCATAGGGTTCCCGAGGCTTTTAATCTTTACGTGAGCAGAAAGCCTCACCTTTCTACCCCAGAGCAGCTGGTGGATTCGAACTGAGACCTTATGGTTCACAGCCGAATGTGAAACCCACTAAGCCAGCAGCGCTTCATCGCCTGGGACTCTGAGGGCAAAGGGAAGGAGATTTGGGTCTAAAAACCTCCCCACCGCCTCCTCCCATGTCTGACTGCATGGATAAGGTGGGGTGCGGTTAGATGGGGTCTCTTCTGTTCCCTGAGGAAGCGGGTTGTCTGGCCCAGCAACTGTAATTCAGGACACTGACCTGCGCACCTGATGGCTCCTGAAACTTCTCCTTCTCCAGGACAATGGCTGCTCCTGTCACACAATGGCCGCCCTTCTCAGAAAATGGGGACTGTGCTCCTCAACTCCTCCCAACTGGGAAGTCATATGTCACTTCCGGACACGCCCAAAGGACCGTAAAATGACTGACAGCTGGGGCGGGGACTTATGGACTCTCTCAGACACCATATACTGGCTAAATTTGAATCTAAACTGGCTCCATGGCACTTAGCAACAACAACAACTAGTTTCCTTGGTAGCAGTATTATGGGGTCCTGCAGAAGTTACACGGGGGGCTTTCACTGATATTTGGTACAGTCTGGGACATTCCTAGCTGTTTCAGCCACGTTCAGATCAAAACGCATGTTTCTTGGGACTCCCTAGTCAGGAATAAGACGGAGCCTGAGTCTGACAGCCAAGCTGCGGTTCTCAAGACCATCAGTAGGGGCCGACACTAAGGGGTCTGGGCCCTAAAGGGGGCTTAGATATAAGAAGTGGAGGACTGAGGGCGTGACTCTGTGTGTGGGTTTTGCTCTTCAGCTGAATGGAACCTTCACTTCTCACTCAGCATCTTACCTGGACTCCGAGTAGGTGCAGTCTCACCTGGCTGTTGCCCTAAGACTTGTTGTTGTTGTTGTTATGTGCCATGAGGACTTCATATCCTGACAATGCTAATGGATCTCTGTGGGTTTATCTCTTGTCGACGAAAGCCAGCCAGTGTCCAGGACTGGGTGTCACACTGGGGGAACCTGGAGGATTTTAACTGTCTGTTCCGCTCTCTTTAATGGGGTAGGTCCTACAGTCCTCATTCAGGGACTTCACACTGATGTCTGGCAGGGCCTGAGCTTGTCCCTAATCTGAATTCAGGCTTCCCCTACCCACCAAGACTCTTAAAACCCCAAAGGGGATGATGAGGAAATGCCTTAGCCTGATTGCTTTGTTTGGGTCCTCTCTATTTGACATTAGGTGTCTTATTTTTTGGTGGTGTTGTTTTGCTCTTGTTCCTCACATTGCTCCCCCTTTTTTTTTTTCTTTCGTTCTTTAGTTCCAGAGTTGATTTGGTGCAAGAGAAACAGTAGCACAACATACGTCCTTGTCTTGGCAGCTCTTGGTAAAACCCTAAATCTATAAATAATTGAAATCTATAAATAATCGATAGCTTTGTAATACATAATCTCTACTGCATTAATAAGCAGAGCATACTGCTAGATTTGAGTCTTCGTTTCACTTTAAAGACCCTGTACATTTTTCTTTACTTAGGCAGGTTCTGTATGTTTTTGGTGTTGTGAATGGTATATTTTCCATTGCGTGATCTAAGTAGTTACATTTGTTTAAACTCGACTCTTAACTTCGTTATAGTGATTCTATAAACAAGTTCCTGAATATTTCATGCTTTGGAATTAAAAAAAAAAAAAAAATATATATATATATATATATATTATAGTATCATGTATCATACGACTACACTTATTCTCTCATTCTTTTCTCTTCCTTGTCCTGGTGTGGTATTGTGGATTAATGCATCAGGCTGCAAATCCATTTGAACTGTCAGGTTGGCAGTTCAAGCTCACCAGCTCCTCCTCAGAAACCCTATCCAGGGTTTCTATGGGTCGGAACCGACTCAATGGCACTTAACAACAACAACAACAACCCCTGATTTATTTATTTTAAACTTTGTATTGTGAATTGAGTGAAGGTTTACAGAGCAGATCATCAGTTTTACATTCAACAAACCATATACTTTGTTTCACTACATGGTTGCAATCCCTTGTATGCACTAACAGTTATCAGCATTTACGTCTATTCACTTTAACCACTGCATTCTTCCCTGTGTCTCCAGCCTGCCATCTTTACTCTGCCAATCTCCCTCTGGTTGTATATTGCCTGCCCCGTCAGCCTTGTCAACAGGTTTCTACCCTCTAGCACATGCATCATTCCTGCCTTGCCCCCAAACCTTCATAGTTTGTTTATTTTGAGTACAACACAAGAAATGAAATGCTGCCCAGTCCTGCGACATCCTCACTGTCATTGCTGTTTGAACTGACGGTTGTAGCCACTGTGTCAATCCATCTCACTTTTGCATATCGTCTACCAATCCTGATGTTCTTCTCCAGGAGCTAGTACCTCCTGATAACTTAACATTTCCAAAGTAACTGTGACACCGTTTCCACATCCTGTTTTCTAAGGGCATTCTGACTGTACTTCTTCAAAGACAAATTTGCTCATACTTCTGACAGTCCACAGTGTATTTGTAGTGATTTACAATTGATAGTATTCTCTAAGGAGTTATCATCTTAGTGTTAGTTGTACTCAGTCTCTTGCTTCATTTAATTCCCTGCTATACTGGATCTGCTATGGATTTTTAATGGTATTTGTCTGTATGTGAATAAGCTTAATCCTGGTGTTCTTTTCTTAAGAGTACCCTCTTATGTTTTTGGTAACAAAGCAAGCTGGCCTATGAAGATAGTTAGTTGAATAATTTCCCATTTTCTGTGTGGTTTGTCAGACTTTGCATATGATAGAGATTAATTTTTTTCACTGACCAATTGATGTAATAGCCCTCCAAACTTGGTTGGTCCTGGAATATTTTGAGGGTAGGTTAGGACATAGTTTCAGTTTGTATTGTTCAAGTAAACTTTTTCTGTTCATGGCACTATGCAAAAATTTATACTTTATTAAAAATGGTTGTATTCTAATTGTATTTTTAAATTGAAAGGCATGACATTTATAATAGTGTGTTCTTCTCAAAGACATTTTCCAAATGTCACCATCCTCCCTTACAAGGATCATTCTGGTTGCACTTGTTCCTAGACAATTTGTTCTAATGGCACTGCCTGGTACTTTCAATTTCAATGCTCAAATGAAGGCTCACTTAGTTGTTGGTTGGTAGAACACTTTGAAGGAGCCCTGGCAGTTGGAGGGGTTTGAATTTACTTGTCAATTTTAACCCGCTTTTTTCTAATAAATATATTTAAGGTGTATATATCCCTTTGAGTAGTACTTGGGTTGTTTTGTCACAAGTAATGCTATAGAGCTTTATTTTAATACTTGAAAATTTTCACAAGTTGAATATATTGTCTCTATTATTTTCTTATAATTAGATATGTAGGAATCCCGGTGTGCTGCTGTAGGATAAGCATTAGACTCCTAATCACAAGCTTGGAGTTTAAACCCATCAGCCACTCCTTGGAAACTCTGTGCAGGGTTACTATGAGTCACAATTAACTCAATGGCACACAACAACAACAATTACACATATATGTTGTTGTTGTTGTTAAGTGCCGTCGAGTTGGTTTTGACCCATAGAGACCCTGAAAAGGGTTTCTGAGGCTATAAATCTTTATGGGAACAGATCGCCTCATCTTTCTCCCACGGAGCAGGTGGTAGTTTCAAACTACTGACCTTGCGGTTCGCAGCCCGATTTGTAACCATTACGCTACCAGAGCTCATATATATATACACACACACGCATATATGAGGGATTTCAAAAAGGTTGCACAAAAATGGAATGAAAAGATGATTGAATATTTCCATGAATTTTTTGAAACCATGACATACAAAGAGAGAGAAACAAACTCTTGTTGTTTTTGTTGTTTTAAGTAAATTCGAGTTGATTCCAACCTATAGGGACCATGTATAAGGTTTCTGAAGAACAGCTGGTGGATTTGATCCACTGACCTTGGTTAGAATTCCAGCGATTATCCTATAGCACCACATCAGGACACCCTACAAATACTAGTGAGTGCAAAGTCTTTATGTTTCAGTAGAGCAACAGAGTTACTTAGAGGATGTCAGAGTCCCAGGCTGTTTTGTTATGTTTTGCTTATTAATGATATGAAGAAACATGGACACCCTTAACTTCAAGAGAGACTTGAGTTTTTTTCC